CAAAAATTTCAAAATGAGTACAACAGTTTGAAATGATTAAATGCATTCGATTTAAAATTAATTAAAAACCAAAATTATTCTCTGCTCGAGATTGGGTGATTTCTGTAAGTTAAATAAACTAAAATAATTGTGTGAGTAACCTAAGCGAAATAAACTAAGAATTATATAACTAAGTTACTTGAGAATTTTTAGGTGGATGGGCGAAATTTTGATAAAAGTTGAAAATTACGTCTTAAAAGTATCGGCTGTATTGGTCCTGTTGGAGAAAGAGGAGTTAAAAATTGTATAATTCTGCCAAAGTGAAAGCCTCCTCTTATCCATCGATGCATATGTAATCGTCAAGAGCAAGTTTCAGCCAATCTGCAAATATAAAATGATGTTATTAAATACTGACGTATGAGAATACAGATGCATAAAGAACATTATCTATAGATAATGTTCTATGCATGAAAGTTAACTTTCATGCAAAAAATTAAAGATGCTAATGATCTGAACAACTTCACCAGCATGTATGTACATAAATACATACAGAAGCCCTATTTTTTTCGAAATATTTGTAAAATTTTGTAAAAGCTTATACGCTTATTGAATTCACGAATATTGTCGAGGAACGCGTGAACTAAATAACTCGCTATTTTGTACATAAATGCGAGATTACAATTTTCTTACCCATTGGCAGAGAAGATTTTTTCAGATTTCCATAAGTTTTGGAAAGATGTCATCCCTCTCTGGTCGACTAATGACGTCTCTTTTGGCATGGCAATTTTCTGTAAATGCGGTTGAAGATAATTGAAAATTCGTGACAGAAAATATTTACACACATATTTATACATATGTACAGGGTGGTTAAAATGTCACGCCACAATGGAAAATTTTTTCGATGGGAAAAATTCGTAAATTTCCATTAGTTACCGAAATTTTGTCGCTAAAATTCAATATTTTTAAAATTTCGTCATCAATGTTCCATTAGTTTTGATAATAATTACAAAAATCTTGATCCAAAATCTTGTAACTAATGGAGATTTAGGGGTTTTTCCCATTAGAAAATTTTCCATTGTTGCGTGACATTTAAACCACCCTGTATGTACTGACGGTTTGGTTGTACAAGTTTTCGTAAAAACATGAAAAGTTTAGCCCATCTCTTAGTTAAACATTGGTCCTGCTTTTCCTGGATTCTGACAAAAAATAAATATGTACCTATATGGACAAATACTTACCAGCTACGAATCCATTTTTATCCAGCAAATTAATCCATAATTTTCGCACTTATCACTCATGAATGCACTGGACTTTATTAAGTTACCAATTTTTGTGAAAATAAATATGAATTTAAGAAATTCAGACTCCGTCCAATTCTGGCAGTCTCCGAGGAGACGCCAGACTGGAATAGAAATGTGAAGAAAGTAACCGTCACTTCTTGCCAGAGATCACTAGGTTTCCATGGCAACAAAGACTTGAAGTGGAGGAACGATAGGATCGAGGAAAAAGGGTTGTATTCTTTCCTCCTAGAGAAAGATGACTCCAGTTTAAGAAAAGTGCTTGAGGTGAGAATAATCAAGGGATGTGGAATAAAAATATGTAAATACATCGGGTTAGGGTAGTCCAACCTTTTTTTAGTGAAGTCAGATCTTATCTTTACTACATGTGTGTAATGATCTTCTTGCTTTCTGAGAGACCGTGCATTAAGATTTTGATAGATATCTGGAAATAGGCATCATGTTACATGACTCATGTATATGCATCACATTCGACCTTTTGGAGGGGTTCAGCCAAGTAAAAATATTTCTGAAATATCTATGTACGTTATGCACGTCCCCCCATGAAGATGGGATGATGGATGATAACGACAAGATTTTGGATGGGTCAGTGCGTGCTGTGTTTTCTTGAGTAGATAACCTAGAAAATCCTGATCTTTCTTCTTTCGTAGCAGATGTGGAGTGGACGGAGTGATTTCGAAGAAGGGTTCAGGTGCATATGTGGAAGATATATTTTATATTCACGACGTCCCTTAAGTCTTTGAAATAGAAATAAGTGGTTGAAATACATGTAAAAAAATAAATATGCAGACTGTAACGCTCCCTATTCTATTATGGGATTGCGTGTCCTGATTCACATCCACTTTCGCTGATGCCCCTTTTCTTTGTGACGTTGTGCAAGAAATTTGTAGTAGAAACTCACTTTTTTATAAGAATTATGAATATATTTATTTACATCAATACCGACTGAAAAATATTGACTTTACAGAAATGCTCGTATTATTAATACGTGGGAGAGCTAATGCTATACTTTATATTTTAACTAATTATCTAGACAGGAACTTATTATTAAGTTTTCGAAGATCTAAAAACCTTGAACTTGATCTTGATGATCACTAAACTAAACCTGCTGATCCTGAATCTAAAACTACACTCTTCTTTTTTCTTCTCTCTGCTTACTCTATATATACGTGATCACATAAGCCACGCCTTCTTGATCACTACCTTTACTTACGCTACATATGCACAAACTACGCCCTCATGATCATGATGATCATGATGACGTAGGCATCATTCTGTGCTCCTCATTCCTATCCTCTCTTCCCCTTCATGATCTCCTCCTGCACACAATATGGTTTGGACACACATGAGAGGCGAGATACATATGAAAACTAAATCTATGTATTTTGAATCCCTTGACCTTTGAAATGCTGATGTCACATTTGCATCAGTGTTCCAAAGGTTGCAAGACAGATTACAAGTCCCCATTTAGCCCGGATTTTTAATAATAAGGATACATTACTGGGACCGTGCACAAAAATTGTCGCCGAATTGATGGGGAAGAATGGTTCTATGTAAATACCCGTAATTGCTGGATTCCTGTTAATTTACATTAATTAATTTGTATTCAATTTTTCACAATTTTTCCTGAAATCCGTATTAACGTTCATATTTAAATACCGTAAAACCTCTATTTATAGCCCTATTCTAATTATGGCCGGTCTCCAAATATAGCCGGGTCTAGAGACCAAGATTTCAAAATTTTAGCCGGGTCTCTAATTATAGCCGGGTACCCAATTATAGCCGGGTCTCTAATTATGGCCTGTCTTGTCCACTGTATCCACGTTCATAGCCCATGCAAGGAAAACGTTGTACACGATGCTAATCAACAAATAAGCTGAATTGATAATTTTTCCCGATTAATTTCAAGTCAATAATGGATGTAATAATGACAGAAAATTTAAAAAAAACTGCTAAACTTGGTTTAAAGATGTAGATTTGAAGTGCAAATTTTGGGCGGAACAAAATTTAGCCGGGTCTCTAATTATAGCTGGTCTCTAATTGTAGCCGGGTCCGTGACCCTCAGTTTTGGATTTTAGCCCCGGCCATAAATAGAGTATTTACGGTATGTACACATTAACGGTCTCTAATATGAGAAATAAACTCAGTTTTTGCACGACTTGATTTGTCCGGAATCAAATATGAAATAATTACATGTCTCAGAAAGATATGTAAGAGCTTTAATCGTGTAAAAATAATTATTAAATACAATTTCTAACAATACCTGACGCTGTCGTGACGATATCTTGCCAGTAAAGATGAAAAAAATACAGTAATAATGTGGTCAAAAAGTGATTTTGGACCGGCAGAGTATCGATCTCTGTACCTCTCACATGCTAAGCGAGCGCTCTACCATCTGAGCTACGGGCCCTTCTTGATAAGCCTAATCAAACAAGTAACATTTATCTTTAAACGATGTAAGAAGTGTGATTGAGTTTAAAATCGAAAGTTGTATAGTCAATAATAAACAACATTTAGTTGGGCGTGCCTTTACTGGCATTGTTGAGTCAAAAGTGATCTAGATTGATTGCAGTGGACGAAGAGAAGAAGTGGTCGCATTGATAAATCTTGATCTGCATGTAAATGCACATGGGACCGTGCAAGTTTGACGTGTTGAATTTGCATAAGTAGCTATGTACCAAAGTGCTTTTCGCTGTTAACTTTGCATCTAGCATATTAAGGATACGGACTCAAAAACCTGATTTTTGTCATTTTTACGATGTAATTCTTGTAAGGCCCCCAGTGAATACATGGAACATGTATGCACATACATATGAAAAAGCGTGCATTCAATGTGTTCGTATGATTTTGTACTGATCCTGCTTTAGGAAAAGGTTCGTTTCCTAAATCTTATTATGAAATGTTTTAATCGAACCAAATATTTCTTGAACCCTAAATAGCTTTGGGAACAAAGTTTTAATTAAATGGGCTGACATGACATAATTACTCACAATAAAAGGAATCATTCCAAAATTACGTTTTCTGCACATAAATAAGTTTGTTCATACGCACTTATTCATACTGTAGAAACCTTCTCCTCCAGAAAGCTGTGCCAAACATTTACCAGATACATTTGTAATGTTACTAATTCAATTTGTATTTAGTGGTGTACAATTATTTAAAAATTCGTCTACCTGTTAATCGTTCACGGCCGAACATGAGCTTTGAACTTACAGAATAATTTTGAAGTGACACAAAATCATGCATTTTACACAATTAGATAGTCAAAATTTGATAAATAGGACAAATATGAACAATAAATATGTAATATAACACACATAATCATTAATAGAGTTGTGCAATGCGCAATATTTGTATGTAAATTTACATCATTCGCATTTAGTGAATTTGGAACACGAAATAAATTCTGTCGACATTTATTACACTAAAAGGTGGCCTAAGATTAACCTAGAATGCATCGTAAACACTGGACATCTGTCTGACACAAGTACAACGCTATTTTACTAACAATGCAATGGATATGTCATGTATTTATTAAATAAATTCCACTCCACTATTTTTGAACATGGTGTTTTCCATACAATTATAGAATTACATACATATTTCGTGTTTGAAACGTCGCACATAAGTTGACGCGTGACATTGAAATTTTTTGAAGCATGTCACGACAAAAACGTAAATTCGTTCCGTAATTCGATATATTTTTTAATCGTTTGCGAAATTCTTTAATTCGTGGTGTAAAATGGACTATTTTAAATATTTGGGGATTTGCGTATTAGCAGGAATACTTTTAAGTCTAGTGGTAAGTTATTAAGGAAAAATTGCATTTATAAAGAAATTCACGCTGGTCGTAGTGACCTGGGTTAGTTTGCTACAAATAATTTTGTATGCATAAAGTCCTCTATTTTACGTTAATAAGTACAAGTTTCCAGTATAATTTTACCCGTATGTTTTCACATTGAGATGCAGATGCCATGAGTGGCTACACATTTGAGTTTATTATTTAGTTACTGGGTTACAAAGTACTTGGTGAAGTACAGAAAATTTTATTAAAAAAGCGAAAATATGTATAATTATTCCTCACTAATTTAAGCTGAAAATTCGGTTACTATTTACCTGCTTATTACGAAGTTTATTAATTTACACATATCGACGTGAAACGCGTTAATGATTGTGAATGGTTTTAAAGTAACTTGTATTTAGTTAGTCTACATTCGAAATAATTTTGCATAATAATTGCAACAGGTCTCATTACCCCGTTCCAATTTATGTAGAACGGAGATTACGGACAATTCAAATGCGTCGGAGGGAAATTCCAACTCGGAAATGCTACCGAGGACCCAAATATGATTTGGGAAAAGGTGGACGCATGTTGGGGCAACCTTACGAAAGCGGAGAATACCAAGTGTGCCCGATTTTGCTGGTACCACGGGGTCGGCGTGATTGACAAAAACTTCCATTTGGATAAGACCGTCTGGAAGGAATTCACCGATCGTTGGTACGATGTCGGGATCAAGGACAAAGTAGTGAAATCGGGCTGCATGGAAAAGGGTAATTCGGAACTTTAACACACTTTTAAAAATAAGGTGACCCTCTTGAAGGCATTTGGTATTCTATATTAAGTAAACTGTACCAAATCCAGAATACTATAGCGTTAACTTGATAATGAGCAAAGTTTACGCTGGATTTACAGTCTACTTAATATGGAATTGACGCTGAATTTACTTTTCAAAGAGGGTAACATTATTTTTTAGAGTGCAGTGTGTCGCTTGGGTAACAGTTGCTAAGTAGCAGAGATCCTTTGTATTAAACTAACAAATTATTTATTTGAATATTCCATTTTAAACATGGTTCAAATATGCAATTTTGTATAAAAAAATTTAGCTCCAACCGGCAAGTTTGAATCCGTTGGGAAAGCTTGTGCTGGATGGGATGGAGTTTACGAATGCTGGGACTCCTTTTTTAATAAGCTGTGCATAGAATGAGGAAGGGATCATGATTCTATTATCCACAATTTATGCTGATTCACTAATCACAAGAGTTATACGTCGATTAATATAATTAAAACAATTTTAATGTACGACTCCTTTGTAGTCAGCTTTTGTGATGTGTAATTTGTGTAATGTGTATACAATGATAATAAATATACTGATTAAAACATTGTATCAAATGATTAAGTGGGAAAGGTACTTTAATAAATAAATATAGCTTACATACAGTAATGCGGTGGCCCGACAGATGTGCAAAGACAAATTTGCAAACGATAAATGTGCAAAGACATTTGTGCAAACGATAAATGTGCATCCCGACAAACTTGCAGCCCGATAAATGTGTAAACGACAAATGTGCAACCGATAAATGTGCAAACGACAAATGTGCAGGAAATTTTCTAACAATTAATTTAACACTTAATTTAATTTAATAAATTTGTCATTTTTGTATACTAAACCTAACATATACCTAGGTAAGTAATGTCACCAGGACCAAACCTTTGATTCCAGGGACCCAATAGGGTGACCCCCATAGGTCGTGGAATGCTGAAATTTTGCATAAAGCTTCAGAGTTATATTAAATTTACATGTCCAAAGTAAATTAGATTTTTTGCCAGTAGAACCCAACAAGGTGACCAATACGACCCACATTAGTTTTCAAAAAACTCATAAGCTGAAATTCTGTACACAATACAGAGAGTGGGGCACTCATACTGAGAAGAGTTCAACAATTTTTCTTAGCTACATGCGGTTTTTCTCGGGTAATTAACTTGCTTGATGCGATGCCCCTTATTCTCAGCTACAAGTTTGCAACGCTTTTTCCTTACTGGAAACGCTTCCCGACACTTTTTAAGGCTTATTTTTAACCACTCGCCCTTAAAACGTTTCCAAAGTCCATCTTAAGTCGTAGCTAATTTGCATGTTTTCTCCATGACGCACAGAAAATTGAACTTCTCCCGGCACAGTCATCTACCCTGAACAAAGCTTCATCGATTGTGACCACAGGTTAGTTAATACCTCCAACAAGTTGGTTGTCGTACAGCTCTTTTCGCAAAAAAGTGAAAATTTGCGATGTGACGCTCGTTCAACGCATGCAGTTTTGTCTTCAACCGTTTGAATTTGTCCAAATCTCTTTTAATGAAGCTTTGAATAGGTATGGGATTCGATTTTAGTCGTTTCGCCATACTGGGAAGCTGTTTGGGATTTCCGGCTTGATCAAACGGTTTAGCTTCGTTTTGAGCTTTTTAGAGCCTTCAGATAGAGAGTGGTTTTTAGGGAGAGGAGGTAGTCCCTGATTAATTTCTTGTGTTCTAACAGCTTCAATATTTATTATTCTATAAATTAAGCCAAACGAAATTTCTTGTCCACGTGAATTAAGCCTTTATTATCAAAATTCTGGTACAAATCTGACTGGAAAACTCTGTAACTAGTACCCCCTCTTAATTTGGCCAGGAAGGAGTCATTTTTCAGAATTTTGAGTAGAAAAAAATCAGAGTCTTACTTAATTGGTTTGTCTATCAAACACTGTTAACCGCTTTTGTTTAAGTTGTGCCAGTTTTTTCGCGCGAGCGTTTGAATTCTTCTCAGTATAAGTGCTCCACTCTCTGTATATATGGCGAAATTTATGTGTGCACAAGAGATGTATAGGTACTTTAGTCAATTATTAATTAAATTGATATTAAATTAACAATGTTCATTGCATCTACAGCTGCAACAGACGACAGACATCAAACATGTCACGGCAAGATAAATTTTTGAGGAATTTTGAATTTTTGATGAGATATTATTGTTTCATTTGACTGATTAAATTAGAGATATATTGTAATAATTTGTAGAAAATTTCCTGCACATTTATCGGTTGCACATTTGTCATTTGCACATTTATCGTGCTGCACATTTGTCGGGCTGCACATTTATCGTTTGCACAAATGTCTTTGCACATTTGTCGTTTGCAAATTTGTCTTTGCACATTTGTCACCCCGTCCATAAAGCTCTGGGCGTGGCTATCGTTATCCATGGATAACGATAGCCACGCCCATAGAGGGTGTGGCGTTTTTAATTTTAACTACGTCAATGACATCTAGCTAACGTCCTAAGAAGATTGATATGTCGCATGACCAGGTTTAGTTAGATTCACTTCATACCAACGGCCACACCCACAGGGGGTGTGGTTTACTAAATTTTCACAATGCCAGTGAATTCCCCCCGGCGAGCTGAGAAGATTGATATGTCACATGACCAGGTTTAGTTAGATTCACCGAATACTTATAACCACACCCACACGGGGTGTGGCTTTTTAAATTTTACTACGTCAATGAAGCCCGCTTAACGTCCTAAGAAGATTGATATGTCGCATGACCAGGTGTAGGTTGATTCACTGAATAGCGATGGCCACACCCACAGGGGGCGTGGTTCACTAAATTATAACTACGTCATTGAAATCCCCTTGGCGAGCTGGGAAAATTGGTATGTCACATGACCAGGTTTAAATTTATCCATTGGATACCAATAGCCACACCCACAGGGGGTGTGGCATATTAAAATTTTAAATATGCCACTGAAATCTCCTTACCGGCCTGAGAAAAATGATATGTCGCATGGCGTGCACTGGTAAGGTATTGGCAGAAGCGCCGATAACCACACCCCCTGTCGCCATGGGGTCTACGATAATGGAATGTCTTTCACATAGGGGCCTTGGTAAGATTACGTGTATTATCGACGTTGAATTTCGGAAACTACGGTGGGGGGGAAATTTTTTACTACATTAAGTGTGGTGATTTGACATTTGACCACCCCCACAATGACTCCAAAGCAGGGGGTGCGGCCTACTAGTCGCTGAGTATGATGACCTGACCATTGCCGTTAAGAATTTACCCCCAGGTCCGTCGAATCCAGTCGTAAAATTTTAAAATCCGATAAAGAAGTGTTACTTGTTTTTTGACCTTGTGACCTGGATTTCGAGGGGGTGGGGCCGAATTTGAAAAATCTGAAAATGTATATTTCTCCCCCAGGTCCAGGGTGTCCAAAACGGGCGCCATTTTGAAAATCCATCACGAAATGACCGTGCAATTAATTTCGAAACTTTACATGTTATATCTTATGGAATGGTCGGCCATTTAGCCTTTTGGATTTATTAACATTGGCCGATGCTCAATACTTTTAAGATGCACCATAATGAATTTTATTATCTTACAACTACAAGGAGGTCGAATTGTTCAAACTGCTATATTTTTTAAAGTACCGTAATATGATGTGCCGAATCCGGCCTTATTCACCATTTCTTGCATTCATGCCTTAAAACTGTGATGCAAAATGTGTCGGCTTTACGAAACCAACCTGTGACCTAGACTTCCAAGTCATGTTTCGGTCTTGTCATGGATGTGGCATCCTTCAAATTTGTTTTCCTAGATCTCAAATGTTGTGGATTGAATTATCAAGGCTATTAAATAAGGCTCTTATCTGTGTACATGAACTTATCGACGCCTTCCGCAGGGGGTCAAAATAGCCGAAAATCCTTGTTTTTAACCGGTTTTGCGCAGTTTAACCTATATCACGTGGGTTCAAAAGCATTTTATGCTGACCCCTGTATGTCGGGCTACCTTCCTTTGTCACTGTGAGATGGTGCTCGAAGTAATTATCAAAGTATTTCAATTCTTCCCAAAATGCCGTAATGCAAAATTTAGGCTCCTCTAGTTTTTATTGCAGAACTAACCGATTTCCTTGCAATTTTATACGCAGATTAGCATTTTTTTATGGAGAGAGTGTCCTCGAACTATTTTAACTGCATTTGGGTTTGAAATATTTTTTATTGCTCCGCAATCCTAGCTTCTTTCAGATTTACCTATTTTCACTTAAAACCACATCTTGCACTGAATAATGCTAATATACCCAAGCCCGTATGCCGGTGAGACCACTTTACCTTTGGTATCGTATTGCAAAAAAAATTGCACGATAAAAAATCACAGATGTAAAAACTAGCAACAAAAATCGAGCGGAAAAGTCATCGGGAGAAACTTTTAGGACACCCTCTATTATTTTTTCATGCAATTTTTTAGCTGATACATATTATCCAAGTCCATTCAATGTAACCATTCTTTATTCTAAAGGCAGGAATTTCCTGCCTTTAGAATGAAGAAATTACTCTTACAAGGGAAACCTCCGAGGTGCCGGTTGAATCCAGGGTTCCCACCTATACCAAAATGACCACAATATGCGATTTATGACGTAAAGTGAAGGAATTTACGTGCAAAAATCAGTTTTCGTCAATCTGTGACGATATTTGTAACGGGCGTGTGAGCACGGTTGAGAGTGGATTCAAGGGACGAAGCGTGCGACTCGGAGATTGCAAAGAGTTCTCGCATAATTCAAATTCTCAATTAATATAATTTTAATTCTCATCTTATTAATAACTGTGAACAAAATCGTGTGGACGTGAATTAGTGTCGTCATTAGTTAGTGGGTGGTGGTGGTATTCAACAAAAAAGTGGTCGAAACAGAGTTGCAAATTAAATACAAAATAGATTACAATTGCACAAAAACTTTCCATTGGAAATACATAAATCCATTTCGCACTTTAATATGTTGATAGGAATAACAATTCGTGCACATTTTAAAATGCATCTTTATGTACATCTTTATATGTATTTAAGTAACCATCTACATATGTCACATTTTAATGTGCTTATCGTTTCAAAATCGGTCCCAGAATTTGACAATTTATTCCATGAAAACACTTTTTGCAATGTTTAAATTTGGGACGATTTATTTGTTGGTCTACCGTCGATTCAAAATTCACCATTTTGCCAAACAGTCTCAAAAATTATAATTAAGCTTGCCATTATGAATAAGAATTTTAAAAATTACATAAATGAAAATTGTGGTTTGCAATAAAAATGAAATATTTATAAACACGATCATGTGTTCAGCCAGCATCTCCGCCGGATGTCTCAGGACGAAACTCTATGCTATCTGTGCTCACACGCTCGTCACAAATATCGTCACAGATTGACGAAAAATGATTTTTGCACGTAAATTCCTTCACTTTACGTCATAAATCGCATATTGTGGTCATTTTGGTATAGGTGGGAACCCTGGATTCAACCGGAACCTCGGAGGTTTCCCTTGTTAGTATATGTACTGTATGTACTATATTTATCCCCACCGTGAACATTA